GCATTGATAATTGGGTTGCAACAACGCTAGGCTGATCCGGGACAGGTTGACTTGATTCAAGGATGGGAATAGAATTGATCTTACACCGGCCCCCAAAATCCGACTAGGATTTTATGAATCATGTTATACAGAATAACCCTCGTGCCCGGCTCTCTTACAAATGACTTCCCTCTAGTAGGCATATCTTACGTATATCGCGCTTCACCTCGCCGTTTCTCGTTCTTATTGTAACCGTTCTGACAAGTCCGTCCGCGGATTGCTCGCATCCCGCAATAACTCCTCGCGGCCAACGCCTAGCCAACCATCTTGCCACCACAGAAATCGTAATGCTCCTCGATCGTCTACTGGCACCTTCACTTGCATAAGCATATCAGCTATGTCTGCGACTACACCAATAGGCTTTCCTCGAAAGCGCAACAGAGCACCAACAAGCTCGGCAATCGTATCAGGTCCTTGATATAGCTTATCGTTCAAAGAATAACCTCTAAAGTTTCTGGCGCAATCTATAACTAATCTCAGTTTATCTGGCTTTTTCGGCTTCATAACGGGATGATGTGGAAGATACCAACTCGAACGATAGTTCGCTGCTAGCTGCTCTGGGGGTACCGGAAGGGCATAACCATTTTTTAACATCGTATTTACCCCATCCACATATCGTGCTAAAAGGTTCTTGTCACACGATAACCTTTGTTTCAGATTGAGTAACGGATTTATGGCGACTACATAATTATTGTCCGTTACTTTTGTTGGATCTTTCCATGGCAAGGGAATGATGTAATGCTCCTTTTCTAAGAAGGTGCTTTGAGTAACCAACTCGCTTGCCTTACGATCTTCGATAGAAAATGAGCGTTCGATTTCTTCAGTATCCTTAAGCTCAGCTTCACGTAGACTTCTGATGTCGTCTTTAATACTGTCTTCGCTGATTCGAGCGTAGTTGACAGTGCCTCTTTCCGTATTTCCATGAAGTGGCCCTAGCAAGACCCAACCGAGCAATGTATTGATTGCGTAAGGTTGTTTGCGACTACCCAAACGCTGATCGAGGACCCAATGCGCCTCGGGAACATCGCAACCTATGAGCATCGTGACCCTTTTATCATCAAGTTCGCGGAATGGCAACTCCTGGAGATGTGGCCAGCGACGGGCCTCTTGTGATACCGATAGTGAGGGTGCATTGACCGGCAGGGACGGCAACGCGAACACTCTGTCAAGTCTTACCACTTCATTTTCATCCATTGATGCGACTTCCAGTTCGCACATGTTGCCCCGAACCTGACTCGCCCCATTGATTGTTGTCAAGGTAATAGACGATGGTGTGCCCTCTAGGCCTAAGCTGCTCAATAGATCCTTCGTAACTAAGGTAACGTCGGAGCCGTTATCCAGAAAGGCATAAGTATCTGTTTCCTTACCGCGGGCCCGCACCTTGACGGGAATCACACCTAGCATAACTGCCGTTCCATAATGCATAGTAGCAGCACATGTCCCCTGTTCTGACACTTGATTTACGACCGGTTCAACATGTAGCAGTGGGTGATGTTTACCACTGCAATGAACTTTGGAACACTTTATACCCGATACGCAATGATCGATACGATGTCCGACCTCTAAGCACAAAAAGCATGCTCTATGGCGGCGGACGCAGCTCCATCTGTCTCGCACATCTAATCCAACAAACTTCTGACATGAAGCAGTAGCATGGTCAGACCTACAGAGAATGCACAGTCACTTGGGTGCAGGGGTCCTTTCTCCCTGTATTGCGAATGATGTGCCCCCATGACGACCCTGTCTATTTGGTGAAACTTGGGCGTTCGGGCGGTTAAAGCCCTCTGAAACGAGGCGTCCGTATCGGCTTCGTGCCACTCTTGCCTCTGTAGAAACAAACTGGCAAAGATCCTGAAAAGATGGCTCTTGCCCTTCTTGATTTCTTGCGTCTGCTAGTCTGGCCCAATTCCTTCGAACTGCTATCGGCAATATGCGTACTATTCTCTCGAGAGTTGTTACGGAATTTAAGTCCGACAAATAGTTCATTTCAGTTAGGGCAATCAGGCAATTCTGAAGCTGTATTGATAGACGGGATAGAGATTCTCCATCTTCTGCCACAGGTCGTAGGCTTCTAATCATGTCTTCAATACGGTTTCGTGCGATGACGTGGATCTCCCCAAACAGATCCTGTAAGATACCCTTAGCTCGCGCGTACGCACTCTCAGGACGCAAGATCACACATTCCTGTATGGCTGCTTTAGCTCGACCTTTACAATAGTGCAACAGATATAACATTCTTTGACCAGGGTCCTTCACTCTATTCTCGACATAATACTCGAATTCCTTGGTAAATCTCAAGTAGTCAGCACCGTTGCCATCAAAATAGGACATTTCAACCTTAGGCATGTCAAGTTTCTCTACGACCGCGCTCTTCCCGACCGTAACAGGAGCGTCCCCGCCAACCATTGCGGCACAATCTTTCACATATCGTTCTAGCTGCTCCCGGTTATCAATGATACTGGCTCTTTCATATTCCTGTTTGTTCCGTTCGTCGTCCGCGGCTAACTTCACATGTAGCTCGGCCATTTCGACATCATGTCTAGCCTTTAGCAACTTTTTCTCTAACTCTAATCCCTGTCGAAGCTGTTTCTCTTTTAGCTGCGCCCTTAGAAGTGAAGACTTAGCACTAGTTACTCGCGACAATGATGATTTCGAACTACTGACATGAGAGCCGGGGCACGAAAGATTATCAACATGATCATTTATACGAACGGGGACTTGCCGACTCTCCGACTGCTGCTCCGAAATTTGATTCCTTGATCTGGTTTGCATTGTTCCAAAGACAATGTATTTTCAACAACGTTGCGTGCTGCCAATTCACCACAGTTTCTTCTCGATGAACGCTCAGTACTGACCAGTTCAGTACGGGATTTTCTATTTGACGTTAAATACTGACCAGTTCAGTAAAGTCTCGATCCGTTTGGCGTTAAGTACTGACCAGTTCAGTACGGTCTCGATCCCTTTAGCGTTATGTACTACGTTAAGTACTGTAAGCTCAATATCGCTTGAAATTAAGTCACGCGTAGATAAAGGCTATCCCGGTCCAGAACAAACAATAAGCCGGTCACTGTTTCTACGGTACTATTAATAAACAATACAATGATTATATATACAACAAACCTTAACGGTTTCAAGAGTACAAAGCACAACGCTTAACAGAAAGCAAGGTACCGCTATCAGAGCGGAATACCGTTAAAGCCAAAATTGCGAACTAGCCGGAACCAGACACGACCGTTCAGGTAAGCAGTCAGTAGAAGAATGAACCCAAGTAAGGCATGGCATAAAACAGAGAGCGTTTAAGAGAGATAGACCGAGCATAGGCACAAAGATAGAATTTAATTGGCTACTTAACCAGGTAGGAAAATACAGATGAAAATCAATAAATAAGATAAACTCGACAGAATAGTACAAAGTTAGACATGGGTCAGCAAAATAACAGTTCACAAAATACTCTGATTGGGCCATGAGTTCAACTGTCTGACTAAACGGATCGAGGTAAAAACACATACACACAGTTCATTAAACAAGCAGGGATAGACACGTTAGACATTGATAATTGGGTTGCAACAACGCTAGGCTGATCCGGGACAGGTTGACTTGATTCAAGGATGGGAATAGAATTGATCTTACAATAGATATCTACACATAATGATAAGCGTTGTTTCTGATCGTGGCCAATAAGAAAATGATTTGGGCGTTGTTAAATCAGTGTAATTATCTATCCCCCCACTTTCAAAGGGTGACCGAATAACGAGGATTATACGACGTTCCCACCGCTTGAAACAAAAGGCCATCAGAGAATCCCTCCCTACAAATAACCCGGTAACTACTCTGTGAATCTTCCCACAAGACTGAAAACTACTCATTTGCTGAGATGAGCAGTTATACGTCACTCATATCACCAAGTAATGCTTTATAGCAGGGTTGTGCTGATTTTAAAGACAGACAGCCATTTCACTTGTTTGAGGCCGATATTGGCACCAGTGAACCCAGTTAGACCGTGAAAATATGACAGGTTTTCATCCGAAATAATCTTCAAGATGCAGCTACTTCAAATCGATGGTTATCAAACAGTATGTTACGGTCCCCGGGAAACCAATAATTTAGATTGTTTGAATGATTCTGAATCCGTTTCCCTTTAACTTATGGAATCTGCTGACAGTCAACCTGGGTACTCTTTTGTCAGTTTATACACTCATAAGAAGGCTACACTATAATGCAAATAAAGATCTATTTGCTCGCAAATATCTGGAAAGTAGATCTCCCTCACAAAAAATATTATACCTACTTTAATGTACTTCATTACTTCTAACTTTCCTATCCCTGCACCTGTCGATCAAATTCCCTGTGTTATCCTTGTTGTTTGTGTGTGCTTTCATTGTCTCCAACCATCTTATATCCTGCTGTACTTCCCTACCTTCCGCCTGTTTTGTTTAAATATTCCTTCGAATCTGTTTCCGCTGACCTAATACTACTTTCTCTGAAATTAATGTCAACCTTACTGGAGTACTGCCTAGAATCGCATCAAAAAGTTTGCCTACCTCCTCTCGTCGTATTCAACAGAAGATCTCAGTCTCTAAGCCCAAACTGCACGAAATTACTTAGAGCAAAGGCATATCACAGCAATTAGTTTCAATTTTACTGCGTTCTTAAAACACCTCAGCTTTGGCTACCTGAACACGAGGCGGAATTTCAAAAAGCGAGTACGTGCCTTTGTTATTTCTTGATTGGGAATATTAGACATGTTACTAGTTTATGCAGATCGATGGAATCATTATTAAAACAAGTAAATTGCTTCTAGTGTTATTAAATAGCGTAGCAGCATCTCAGATGCTGGTAATTTCCACACACACACCCGAGTTTTATGTTGTGCACGAATAATTATCGGATATTATCCTACCTGACTGCAAGGATGAACTTGTATGAATGAAGGCACAATAAAATGCATGGCTAGTCGGGCTGAAAATTTTATCAGAGTGAAAAGGGTGCAAATAGCTCAAGTAAGATGTTTTGTGGAAGTCCACAAACCCATGGGTAGCATTTTCTTCAGGGCAAAAATACTTGAAACGCATTGAAGAAAGTGGGATAGTTGTCTGCAGCCTGCTCAAAAATGTTTGCAGTGGACTCTAGTTCAGCCCCAACGTCTTCAGTGCACTTCTACATCTAAGAGTATTGGAAGAAAATGTTTGAGAAAAGGTTGATTTTTGGTTAGACTTCGTCTGAATTGCCTCATTTCTATCACATCACTCGAGAAGCATGATGTATAGGTTAAACGGCAAACGCTTTTGTGCTTATGTTACACTGAATGGATGCTTCCTCACATATTGCGGTCCCACCGTTTTGTAAATATTCCATAAGTTACTTTGTGGCAGGTGGAAAATGCATTCAGGAGTATTGATTGGAGTGTGAAATTAATGGTCACAAGTTCTTAGACGTAACTTGTCGCCTTTCTCCAATGTTTGACTTTGTCTGACCAATATTAGTAGGTATCTTCTTGTAAAGGTACGGATCAAATGAAAGGAAACTTTCCGGAAGGATTCCCATCTTCTACCGTGCATTAGATTGGTAGAAATGAATCCTCTGGCTTGTTACACTTATTTTTGATTTTTATGAATTCCGTGTAATATTCTCTGTTTGTAACCTTTGTCTTTATTCAATTTAACGTGAACCATTATAACTTAGGCAACTAAGTTTAATCCCTATTCCTTGCACAAGGAGTGTTGCGCTTAGTGTGACACATGAGAAATTCAACCCGAGTTATCTATATAACTCGGCTTGACTTAGGGTTATTGGAAAATATAAATAACTGACTTACTGAATTCTCAACGTTAAACAGTGCATAAAACTAAAAGTTATCACACTTCATAGAAGTACACAAAGATAAGGAAAAACATCAAGATACCGCAGTAAACTGAAACTGTAGAATTTAATGGATGAGTGTTCATAAAGTGAATGCATGTACACCATTGAAAACGATTTTGACCCATCGGACTAGCACTTCCCATCCATTTGATTTTTGAGTCTCGAGGACCCTAGCCAGATAGTCTGAACCTCCCTACGTGGCCCAAACCATCGGTCTTAAATCCCAGAGATTGCTGCCATGTTTCGATCTACCCTTAACTCTGTCAACAAAACACTTAGATAACATTGTTCCTTGAGGAAGGCGATTATTCGACATGCGTAACACATGTCCCAGCCATTTCAATCGATACAGCTTCACAGTCTTGTCGATTGACTTTTCACAGTAACCTAACACTACTCCTGACTCCAGTAATGCTCACCAATTTCATATCAGTTTATATAGGAGATAAGACGCAAACGACTATGGCCAAAGATAGCTAGTCTGTCTATGTTTTCCACTTTCAATGTTTTTTCAAAGCTATAAAGTAGGATAATGTAAATTGATGAGTAGTACACACCCTTCCATGGAAACGCAGACATCATGTCTGCACCAGAGATGACGTAAGCTCGTAAATGGCATACACACTTTTTGTATCCATGCTGTGATTTAGACATCAATCAGTTAATTGAGGACGGTGCAGCTTCCTCAACAACTTAGGTGGTCAACATGCTGAGTGAGTTGTGGTAACGTTCCTTTATGAGCACTCCTTTCCTGACCAGATGTTGCCATAACACTGCTCAATCGACAGAGCTAAATGCCGCTTTTGAGTCGAGAAACATGGCAAGTGTTGGACGCTGGTGATAAGTCTGCTAGAAGACTTATTCCGGCGAGCTCCGAATTCAATGAGGAGCGAAAGCTGCACAAGAGGAAACTTACGAAAAGTCTCCGCAAGGACCGTGAACAGTGGTGGGCGACAAAAGCCAAAGAGATGGAGAAAGCTTTGAGGATAGGCAACACCAGGCAACTCTTTGGACTCATCAGGGAAACGGGTGGGAGAAGACAAATCATTAGTGAGACAATCTCGGAAAAAAATGGCACTATAATTAGCTCACAGGATAGACGACTGGATCGTTGGAAAGAGCATTATGAGGAGCAGTTTAATTTGCCCACAGCCACGCTCAACCTTCCGAGCATCCAACACCTCCCTGAATGGGATATAGATACAGGTCCTCCGTCACTAACTGAGGTTACTAAAGCTGTCACCAATCTGAAACTAGGCAAAGCAGCGGGACCTGATGGAATGACGCCAGAGGTATTTAAGTACGGTGGAGACAGCTTACTGTCCGGATTAACTGAGGTACTAGGCAGCGTTTGGGAATCAGAAGAAGTCCCATCGGGTTGGTGTAAGTCGCTGATTATCCCCATATACAAGAAGGGAGACAAGTCTTCCTGTGATAATCACAGAGGGATTAGCTTGACTAATATAGTATCTAAAGTCTTAGGCTCAATAATCATGCGTAGACTGAGTGGTGCTCGGGAAGCACAAACACGAGAGAGCCAGGCAGGCTTTAGACCAGGAAGAGGGTGTATTGATCATATCTTCACCCTCCGACAGATTCTAGAACATAGGAATTCCTACCGGCGTCCAACAGTCATTATATTTCTTGACCTAAAGGCAGCATTCGACTCTGTCGATCGGGAAGTTCTCTGGAGATGCTTGGCTGTAAAGGGAATCCCAAGAAAATATATTGCACTGATTAAGGCACTCTATTCGTACTCATACAGCCAGGTGAGGGCTTACGGCGAGCTGTCATCTGAACTGATGACGACCAGTGGTGTCCGTCAAGGATGCCCATTATCTCCTTTTCTATTCAACTTCATCATAGATGTGTTAATGGACTTAACCCTAGGTGACTTCAGCGATTCAGGGATTGACTTGCTACCTGGGAATAATCTCGTTGACTTGGAATATGCAGACGATATAGTCCTTCTAGGCGAAGACGCTGACAAAATGCAGAGTCTTCTAAACACCTTGAACAGCAATCTACGAATGTTTGGCATGCGATTCGCTCCCGCCAAATGCAAGATGATGTTACAGGACTGGACTACATCGACGCCTAGTTTAAAAATAGGAAGTGAAGTGGTAGAGCACGTTGACCGCTTCACTTATTTGGGAAGTACCATCAGCCCCAACGGGTTGATCTCTGACGAAATCTCAGCACGAATACAAGGGGCTCGTTTCGCATTTGTTAGTTTACGCCGACTCTGGCGTAGACGAGATGTTCGACTATCGACCAAAGGGCGGGTGTACTGCTCATCAGTCCGCTCCGTCCTCCTTTATGGCTGTGAGACCTGGCCACTGAGAGTGGAAGACATGAAAAGACTAGCTGTCTTTGATCATAGGTGCCTGCGTTCTATTTCCCGTGTAAAGTGGCATAATAAGGTGAGCAACATGGAGGTTAGGCGTAGAGTTCTAGGTAAACAGGGGAAATCAATCGACGAAGTCGTGAAGCTACATCGACTGAGATGGTTAGGACATGTGTTACGTATGCCAAGTCATCGCCTCCCTCGACGAGCTATGTTAGCGGATATAGGGTCAGGCTGGAAAAAAGCTAGCGGCGGTCAAACAAAAACTTGGCATCAGTCAATGAAATCCACAACAGTTGGTCTAAGCCACGTAGGAAGGTGTAGACTTCCTGGCTGGGGTCCTCGGGACGGTAAAATTCTATGGTTGGAAACAATTGGTGACATGGCTCAAAACCGTTCTCAGTGGCGCAGATGCATCCACTCCCTGTGACTTATGATCTTCAATGAAATTGTTTTGTATTTCTTTATTACTCCTTTGTCTCACACCTCTGCTCACTGTTTCTATTATGCTTTTCTTGTACTTTCTTCTCTTGCTTCGCGTGCTACACGGAATGTGGCGACTTGAACTTCCGCACATTTGTGCAAAGTTCTATGTCGAAAACAGACAGACAGACAGCTGGTGATCATGTCCATTTTACAGAATCTATCAAAAGGTGAAAACATAACCAGTACGCCCTCGCTCACGCTTGGTTTTCACGGGTTCATTCCTCTCAAACACTTAGTCAGCTCAGAACTATTGAATCTAGCATTTTAGCTGTGTTGTTCAAGTTATCAATCATGTAGTATCGTACTATACTAAGTAAAATAATCTAATTTATAAAGCCGCTGAAGGAGTCACACGATATCGACTATGTATCCACATTGAATTGGAGGAAAAAAGCATCCGCAGAAGTGAGAGAACATTTTATTCAAATCTCACCTGCGAATTACAAACTGGCCCTTAATGATCTGTGCCTATCCATGGCTTATGGGACAAGGACTGGTTATGGCATACCATCGGAACCCATCTATGTATATAGAGATTTGTCTAACATCTTATAAACTGGGATAATCAGTGTTTCACACCAGTTCATCGGGACTGTTTCAGATTGCCATTCATTACTTGAGAGTTAATTAAATTCCTTCTTTGGAAAACGTTTCACTTACCAGTGGGTTTTTAGCAGCCCGTTTATATAGTTGTCTAATATTACCCACCGCTGATGTTTTCCTATCGCTTTTGCTTTCATCACCCACCACTGTCCCCAGTCGTTGCGAAGGCCTTTAGTTAGCTTACCATCATGTTATAAGCTCATGGGGATCAGTATTCTTGCACCAATCACAACATAAATCTACTGACATTTACTAATTTTTGGTTTCAAGTTGTCAACAGTCTTTGCTACTGTTTTAACAGTAGACTGGATATTACACCAGGCTTCCTCAGTACGGATATTTACTGTGAACGTCAAATACGCTTTTAACTATTTCTTTCCTGAATAAAGACTTCGTACTCTTGTCAAGTTGACAGTTTCGTAGGTACCCGTTTTCTGTGCCACTTCAGTCGTAGGCATATAGGGGCATAGATTGGTGTGTATGTCATAAGTCCAAGTTTACATTTCTTAGTTGTTTGTTAATCTGTACTTCAGCTAAAACAGAAATAAGATATGACAAGTTTGTCAAGGAAAGCAATTGCATATCTAAAAACAACCTCTTTGATTTCCCTCTAGATGTGAAACAATATGTGTATTTCAAACTCATGTTTCCTGAAAGTCGAATTCTCTCCAGGTTAATTCGATCGCTGCACTCACACAATAATTCTGCGTGATAATATCGGCTTACTTTATTTCCTTTCTTTTCTAAAGTTTCACTGTTATTTTATTATTTTGGTTTACATTTAGACTATTTACTTTATGTAGATGTAAGGTGTCATAACTGTCATCACTAGACAGTACTGCTATCTTGTTAATTTTTTGTTGTCTAGTATTTTTCTTCTTTTGTAGGATTCCTTACTTTTCGCTGTATTAAGTAGTGATGTTCTTAACAGGTGAATTGCTGTTGGAATCTTTGTTTTGTCCTACGCCTTTGACTATTTAAACCACACAAATACCTATTATTTCCGCTGTGATGTTTTTTGTGCCAGGTATAAAATTCATGAGTTCAAAAGTAGAAAAACCTGATGTCTCATCTTGGATTCAAGATATTGCAAAGAAACGCTTGAATATCGCAACAAGTGTAGCAGAATTTAAATATGCTAAATGTCGCGTTCGTCAATTAAAAGGACCAAATCATTTTCCTTCAATAGAAGACGATTTTGAAAAGCAAACTCATGAAACCTTATCAAAGTCAGATCATAAACTGGGAGTTCTTTATTGGATGATACGTGAACAAAGAGTACAAGGTAAAGAAAATTTTAGTCTTCAAGTGAAATTCATATCAGTAATACGTTCAAGTTTCAACGTACTTTTTCATTTATTCGTTGAAATTTTATTTTATGACTGTCGTTTGTGTGACTAATTGATTAGAAGTGCTAAAGGTTTACAAAGTTACCTCGAAAATTCTTCAACTGTTAGTTTGCAGGGATTTGATTGGTTACAGGTTTGAACAAAGTCTGACATCAGTTAAATAGCCACTGTGGCCAGTACAGGGAGTACTGGATAACTGTTTCTTCCTAGTTATGTACTCTTCATCGGTACTCACCCACTGAGGGTCAATCCCATGAACTTCCGATTACAAGGAGAGATCGTAGACCATTCAGCCACTAGGTCCAGTGGACCAATTCTCAATACATAACTGCTTTGCCAGCCAATGTCACCGACGAGTGATTGGTGAGCTCACACTAGGCCGAAACATCTGTCTAGTACTCCCCGGTTTTTTATAGATCTCGAATTGATGCCAACCCGTAAGGACTAGTGAAAACTGTTTGCATCCTACAGAATTTCAACGCCACAGCAGATATAAATTTGATGTAAGGTAGAGTTTTCGCCAAAGAAAAGACTCGTTCACTCCATAACATAAGCGTTTGTCGCAGCTGTACTTTGACTTTTTTATTGACACTCACGTTCAGCATGAGCGAACTGTCACTCCCACCTCGAAAATAATGAAAACACCTGAAGTCTAGACAGAAAAAAGGTGAAAATTAAAACAATGAAAACATACACTAAGAACAGGAGATATAAGAAGAATAAGGCCAATAAGTAAGTACTAAGAGGGAATGGTTGCTAACATTTTCAAAAAAAGACTTAGTTAAAAAGTAAATTAGGTTTTGGAGTTAAGCGTCCATGGGTCAACTTCATATCTGTTTCTTATTAAAGGCTTGAAGGTCAATTCTAATCATATTTTCAAAGTAAAACTAACAACTGATCTTTATTTTCGAAACACTGAAAACTCCACATTTTAACTATATTTTATATTTCTAAACTCTCTTTTAACTAGAACAGTTGTTCTGTTACTAAATCACGAAAAAGTGTTCTCTAAGATGGCTGTGTTAAGTGCAACTAACTGATGAGTTGTCATTGCCTCTGTCGGTTTCTTTTAGACTGAAATCTGTTTTCTTCAATATTCTCATTATTGAAATTAAAACAAGACATATAAGCCGACAGTAATATCAGTAATAATGACAATAAGTTTCGATGAAGAAAGACCACATGTGCTGTATAAAATTATATCATTCTGTCACACAGGTTCTCATCAGCTGCAATCTAACTGAAATGACAATCGTTGTAAAAAGTGACAATAACATTAAAATTAATGCATCCAAAATGCAAGTATTACAATTTTTAGTTGAAGTTACCATCAACTTATAACGCTTTCGAAATAATAAAGGAGTGGGGAAAAAAAACGAAAAAATCTAATAAACATTATTACCTTGTAGGTTCACATAGCAACTCAATAAGGTTATAGTTCATAAGATTGAAAATTTGCTCAGTGAGCTAGAAAATCACTAATAATGAATAACCAATCAATGTAATCATCAAAATGCAGTTACCAGAAGAGTGAGAGATTGATTATACTGCCTTTCTGTATGCATAAGTTCTGTTTGAAGTATTTGATTGCAATTGCTTCAGCAAATTGTAGTAAATTTTGTTGTCCTTTGTATGTTTCATATTTTGAGGAATTTGGAAATCTCAACGAAATTACCCGTATCTACAAAGTGTCTCCGGTGATTGTATTTTGTGGATATTTGCTTCCTTTTAGACATAAGTTTCTTGGGATATGCTCTGAGAATCGAATAAAATCTTTTCTCTTTGTTCTTTCGATATGCTTGCCTCCGTAAGTGCACGTAAATTTAAAAACGCAGTTGAAGATGACATCAACTGGCTACATATCCAGTTTAGATTGGCTAATAGAGCATGTGGCGTTGTCTGGTGTTACGGGCTAAGCTGCAGAAGAGCGTGTTTTTATTTCTGCCTTCATTTCCGTTGTCAATCTTTTGTTATACTTCTTCTCCTTTGAATGGGAGACAACTAAACACTTTCTTCTTTTCAACGACAGAGCCAGAAAGCTATGTTTGCCCAGCAGGGTGCAAGAACAATCAGGCTTTGTTGAGAAACGCGTAGGGAAAAATGGGTATCCAAAGGGATTTATGCTAAACTATAGCCAAGGAAAAGACGAGTGAACAAGATACGCAACTGTTGAAAAAAAAGAAAGTGTTTATTTGTCTCCCATTCAAAGGAGGAACAGTATCACAAAAGATAGACAAGAGAATGAAGATGCTCAATAGTGCGTTTGTTCAGCTGTCTAGTTGTTCGCCTTATGTAGCTTTCTTCTCAGGGGCAACTAAACTTGTCAATGCACATAGAACTAGCACGGCTAGGTAGCTTATCTTTCACTTGAGCAATCATAACTGGTCGGCTGGAAAATGACAAACAAAGGGTGGCAACAGTATAAGTCCGTTTGACTTAACTAGCCACTGAACTGTACCTTTTGGAACACCTTTCTTTTTTAACTATAGTCGGTTTCCTCTTGCTGTATACACTTACACTTCTCATGTGTCTGCTTACAAATCTACTAAGATAACTCATTTCGGACCAGCACATTGCATAGACATCCTAATTCATCTTCTAAGGAATCATTGGTACAGATCTTTCCTCCTCTATTCGTGAATCATCTGACCAAATCGATTTTCTGTCAGATGGATGCAGAAATGAATTTTTTTACTGAAGAGTTAGTATTTCTTACATTATATAAAGATATTGATAATATGGTCTCAATACTGAATGTGTGGTTTCCTTTTCGAATGCTAAATTCTTTCCTAACTTTCGTATGATCTAACTGTAGTTATTTAATTCCACTGCTAATCACCATCCAATTAAAATCTAACTGTAGTGTTTAAACAAACTATCGTTATTATTCCCTTGGGTTCCTAGTGGAACATAGGGCTTCAACAAGACATCTCCACTTTGTTCTAGTTTTTGCTGTTCGCTTCAGCTGGGTTCACAATTTACCATAATCCCTCATCTCGCACAATCTCCCCCATGTCAACCTAGGGCGACCCACTTGTTGCTTCCCATTAGGTTTCCACTCGAGGTTATACCTGGTGCATAATGTCACTTGACAGTCTCCTCAACGTATGCTCCATTCTCTCCTACATATCTGCTGAGTGATCAACTAGTGGTTGGTTTGTTTTCAGACTTTGTTGTTCCCAATTCTTTCTGGACATTTAATTTTCAATAAGAAGCGAAGGCAGCTGTTGATAAAAGTCTGTAACTTGTTGGAAATCCCTTCCGTGACACGCAGTGCAAGTTTCTGACCCGTATAGAAGAACTGACTGAATTCACATTTGTGTTGAAAACTTGTGTCTTGTTATTTATGCTGACTGAGTGCAGTGCAGAAGATTTCTAGACTGGTTTCGGTTGATGAAGGCGTATCTTTCCTTTCCCATTTTGACTGGCTTTGATATCTTCTGTTCCGCCTGTAGTTGAAACGATACTTCCTAGATAAGTGACGCAAGTAACCTCATTCAAATCTCTCCCGTTGATGGTGACTGGTACTGGTTGTTGTTGCTGTTGGTTGGATGGTTATCCTCATCACCTCTGTCTTCTCTATGTTCACCTGCAGTCCTGTCTTCGCTGCCAGCTTCTTCAGCCGGTTTGTTGGTTTTCACCTGCCTCTAAGTCTTCAAGTTTGTGTGACATTAAATAAAAATCACCCACGTGCGAAATCCAGATCTTCTACTGTCTTCTTATCGGTGGTCCAGTGGATTCCTGTCTTCTCACTCCCTGTGCACAGTCTAAGGCATAATCCAGTCTACCACGATTAAGAATATCATCGGTGATAATAGACAGCCTTGTCTTACTCTTAGTTATCCGTTGTGGATCACCTGACACGTGGCATTGTCATATAGCCAGCTTCTGAGTGAGGTTGATAAAGACTTGGGCACTGGACACCGTAGTGTTAAAGTAGTTTCCAAACTACTTTTCAGTCAACGCAGTCTATTAAAGGCCTTTTCGAAGCCGACGAAGTTGGCGTACAGGTTTGAGTGGCATTCTATGCTTTGTTGTGTGATGACAATGCGTAGAGTTGAAAGTTGATCAGCACATGATTTGCCTTTCCTGGATCCAGCTTTTTCCGGTGGTTGGCGGAATTCTGTGTCGAATGCATCTTTTATTCTCTCCAGGATGACGCGAATTAACATTTTACTTGGCGTGGACAAGAGCATTATTTCATGTCAGTTCTTGTGGAGGCCTAACTAGGTCGTCTTTCTTTGGTAGCTTCTAGAATGCTGGAGAATTTTTAGAAGCCTGATGTTCCAGTGAGTCGTCAATAAGTTGAAATATTGACATAGAAGAAATCTACCAATCGATAAGAAGGAAATCTCACACAAAGGGTCAGGGTTAGGTCAGGGAAACAACCAGCACCAATGCCAATACAAGTAGCCTAGAGGGTGGGAAAATACACTAAAGCAACGAATCACGTTCAAGGTCGCCAGAAGAGATGACTAGTAAACTTGTGGAGAAGTCTACAAGCTCACTTTAAACTGACGTATGTGCTGAAGATGTTGCCTTGTAGGGCAATGAAAGATAAACCATCCATCTCAGAGGTCACACCTACATCAAAATACTTTCCATTGATTGAATGATGTGCGGGACATTCCAAGCACTAATACCCGTCAGTTCAAGAGTTAGTGGGTTGTGTGGCTGGGAAATATATCCAACAGAATAAATGATCACAAATAAATTCAGTACATTACATCTAAAGGACATGAAGCTTTGTTATATATCCCCCTAATTGTAGGGTCGAAGCCCGTTGCTACGTTAGTCTAGTAACAATTTTTGTTTTTTATATGCTTCTTGAGTGAAATTTTGTATTAAAATACTTTTTGGAAGCACACAATTTCGTCGGAATAGTTTACGTGTACTGCGTTAAATTTGCTGAACTTGTATCAGTAATTGTTGCTTGATACTGACAGGTTTGCAATGTGATAGATTAAATAAGGCAGTAATTTCAAACTTTAAATGTTTTAATTTGTTTGTCCTAATTGGTTTGGTAGTCCCTGGTATTCGTAGCACAATTTC